AAATATACTCATAACCCTAGGTGATCCATTGAACTATTTTCACTAAAATTTAATGCGATTATTTGATTTTAATCGACACAGAGATATAGTAGATTAAACCAATTAATTAGGGTTAATTTCGCTCGAGATTGGTAATTAAATAAAATTGAAAAATCGGGTCTAACATCGTAAATGAGTAATTTGTTAATTGGCTTGTGGAGAAATTAATTAGGTGACGGTTAAGCGAAACCATGAATCTCAACCACTTTTTTCTTTCAAAATTTCGAAGTGTTCATGTTTTCTTATTTTATAGATTTTAGTTAATTTTCCTTAATTTTCAAAATCAAAATTTATTGTGTGTTTGTTATTATTGTTAAAATTAAATTGACTAAAATTGTGTAAGCGAAAGTAAGCATTCCTCGAGGGATCGACAATCAGGACTCAACAAGTCCACTTTATTACTTGAATGCGACCCGTGCACTTGAGGTATATTATTTTAGTGAACACCACACATCATTGTTACCCTCCCCACCAATTTAAAAGTGGTCACTATGAGTCCCTTTTGCTCTGGAGACATCCTGAGCAAATACCTGAGATGTTATGAAGTTTTTAGAGAATGAGAACCAATAGAGTGCTGAGTATGACACAAATGGTAAACTATAAACAGTTGATTTAAAAAAAAAAATCAAAAATCAAAATATATATGTGAATCTATTAAAAATTTCAACAAGAAAACATTTTTTGGATGTTAACTGAAATTTATCTATAACAAAAATTATCATAATATAAACATTTCTAAAACGATTCAAGAAAAACTGTGAAATGATTGGAGAGAGATTAGCAACCTTTACGTGCGGAATGACTTTAAGAATACCAGAAGTTTTCTGCAACATTTCAATGCAGTCTCCTCCAATACAAAGATCATAAGCCTCCGTTAGAGCTTCAACTGCATTCTCCCTGTTAACAAAATTAATACTTGGAAAAGCTCAAAGAATTTCCAAGAAATCCTCCCACAACCCAAATCAAAGCTACCACGCAATGGGCTGTTAGAAATAGGATTCATGAGTGTACACATGATTGATTTTGATGCTTGAACTTTGACGAGGCTTGCACAGGATGCATTAGGGTTTATTCGGGAAACTGTTGAGAAGGTCTACGTGTTAAGTACAAGAAGACTTCAGTTTCTTTTATTTTCTTTTCAAGAATTATTTTATGGATGTTTTCTATTTTATTAGATGAATGAACTTTAAGATGTCTTTGAAAAATACGATGTACCGTGACAATTATATTCTTTTCCTAATCCAGAAGTGTAGTTAGTGCCTTAGTGGTGGTTCAAGAAGAATAACGATGGATGTCCTCGAGAAGCTTGTTGCTTATGAGCTCTTCCCATCACTTCCCATTCATTTTTACTTCCTTTTAAGCTGTTAGCTGAAACATGTTCTACATCGTAATGTTCACACAGGTCTTACCAAAGCTTTTAACGTTGTTCTGGGAGAAATAATTTATTTATTTTTCCCATCACGTCATTTGAAAAAAAATAATTAAATAAAAGAATATAAATATTAGACCTTAGAAAACTTGACTTTTGAGAGTTGCACAAGTTATTCTACCATCTATTTATCTTCTTTCATACACATTAATAGTTACATACAATTTGGGAAAAGCCTCGTTGCAAAAAGAAAAATCAGCATCATCAGAGGACTTCACAGTTTCGAGTCAATTAAAAGGAGGGAGCAATCAAGCAAACTTCACCAGGGTAGAAATATGCTCACCAAGATAACACAAAAGGAGTAGAAGACGAAGTAAGGAGTTATGTACACAATAGAGCCAACTAAGGGATGAACATTGTAAACAGTACGGAGTTTGACAGCATTGGATGTGTATAAAAAACAGAAAAAGGATACTTACCTGTACTCAACAATATCGCTCTCATCAGGAGATGCCCATTCATATCCTTAACTGTTCTTCGTAGTGCCTAGAATTAGTGCTGGTTTTGAAACAATATTAACTTGGCCAGCAACATGGCAAGCTGCCAAAGCTTGATCTCCAGTAATCATGACCTGACAAATAATGGAAAGCCTCATAAAATTCTGAATATGATCCTCTATCAAACATTTTGAAGAAAATCTGATATCCTGATTGTCCATATCTTTTTTCTTTTAAGCATTCCTTATTTTAAACTGCATAAAACATTTGGAAGAAACTCTTATTTCCATATTTAGACTGTAAGGAGATAAAAAAAAAAAAAAAGCAGTCCACATTATCTGTTTCTACTTTCTTTCTAGCTTTTCCTTGTTTTAGACTACAATCACAGAACTGAAGCCCGAGCTGCAACCAAATCAAGAATATAGTGGAGCATAAATCACAGTACAAAATTACTTGGAAGAAGATTATCACTCACCAAGTCATGTGATGATTCTTTTAATTTAGATAATGCAGCTGCTGAATCACTTCTGATAGGACAACTAAATACCTGAAGCGTTTATGGAGAGCATCATAAAGTAGCAAAGAAATAACGAAAAGGAAGACAGCATATTAATAAAATCTCAAAATTTGCGCATTCAGACAGAAGACGATTTGCATAAATTTTATTTTTACCGAAACCAGCAAAATAAGACCAATTTCCACCCCGTCTCTCTCCAAGCTTCTGGCTTCCATATCCTTCAAACATTCAACATAATTGGCATCAGCTTAAACAGGCACAAACGAAATTTGTGGGGGATAAATGAACATGCACAAATATGAAAAACACGTAGGGCACACCTGGGTAACTCTAAAGGTATCAACAAACAACTAAAGGAATAATTTATATACTTGCATATAGTCACATAAAAGGGGAAGTGTTTACATAAAAATATGAAGGAAAAAAAAAAAAACGGTGGATTTATGATTGACTAAGCATCGACGTTGTCAGAAGTAACAAGTATTAACCTCTGGATGGCATCCATCTTAGCAAGTTTGCAATCCGTAATACTGTTTAGTATAATTCAAAAAATTATTAAAAGTTTAAGAACCTCCGTAAGTGCAGATAAGTGATCGTGAAGCTAATCTAACCCATAGAATATGCAATTGAGGCAATGGCCAATTTCAAAGTAAGCAGAGCGCGAAAGTTTTAAAAACAAAAAGGACCTGTATGAACAGAACTCATTGTGCTGGCCACTTTAAATTCACAAAGATTCTGACCAAGGTCACATGGATGTATACAGGATCTATAAGCTGATAATATTGAACAATATTTTAATTAGCTACCACAAAAGTTTATAATAACCTATTAAGTTGGACATGGGTAGAGTAAGAAAATAGATTCAGTTACTAGTGACCACAAAATGTGACAAATCACTGTAATCTACATGTATCTATGATTGGACATCAACAGTGCAGATTTATGAATGGATAGGGAGATGATTATCGCAAGGATAAAATATTCCGAAGAGGGCATTCTTACTGTCATCACTGGAAGAGACTTGTAGGCCAATGCCAGAACCCGAAATCCTTGGCGTGCATATTTCTTGTAGGTCTGTACATAGAATGCAGGCATATGAACCAGTCTTTCTTGAATAGATTCTGGTGCACCCTGAAATAGTGTAGGGAGATAAATTTAGAATAATGCTCTTTGTACATTTTTCCTTGACAATGAGTTTGACATTCCTTTGTTTTTCAAAAATGGAGTTGGCGGGAAAGTGAATTATTTTCAAAAACTGTCCAATGTAACGACGCCACGTTGCACAATGTAAAGAATAATGTCAAATTTAGTGTACTTGTAGCATAACCCATAAATTTACTGACTAGTGTAAATTCAAACAAGGAAACAAGAAAAGATCATAAAAAATAAGAATTAATTCTATTAATCCCTGTTGTTCATGGGAAATATATGCAAAGCCTATTCGGGACTGAATAGTGAAAAACCATCACTGGAGTGCATGCAAAGGAAACTAAAATAGCGCTTATTCAAAATTGAGCTTAATGAGGAAGGATGGGGCTGCAATAATCCTAGAGAAAAAGGTCGGCCTAAACTTATAATTGATCACATGATTAAAAAAGGTTTAAGACTTCGCATCATAACCATGGATAAACTTTTGATAAGGCAGTGTGGAAGAGGAAATCCAGCAGCTGACCATGACGAAGTGTAAGCGATATTGAGTTTGTAATATTAAGCAAGTCCTCAACCCATCAAAGACTGTCCTATTATATCTTTTGTCATTCTACATTACTTTGGCATTATTTTGTTTTATAGCAACACATCATTCCGTTTATGTGTGTATGAGTGTCATTTAGGCAAAGTTCTCAATGTGATCATAAGCATTTGAATTTAGGTTTCACAGGCAGTGCTTCTGTTTATCAGTTCTACTAGACAAACAGACAGTAGCATTGTATTCATTTTTTTGATGACTCAGGTGTCCAAACTCCGCCTGACTAATCCTGAGGAATGGCGATCTTCCCACCTGGTTCGTTATTCGGGTAAATCCGGATGCGATCACAGCTTATATATACTTGGACCGGACATTCGGAATGCGATTATCCTCCCTGTGGACCTCCATTTACAACGTGCGGACAGGACGGATGGGCGATAAAGTGCACCATAACATCTGTCTTCCAACATAAATGTTGCCTTCCAACTGCCGCGAGAATTCGAACCTCCGATGTTCCGTAGAGAACCCTCCTGCTTTACCACTGCGTCATGCCCGTGGGGTCGAAATGTATTCATTTTTCATCCTACCTCAGCTGGAGGTATAGGAAAAAGCTGAAGAATCAACTATAAAATTGAGCCAGGAACGGGAAATGAATGCCTTACTGTGCCTTTTATGCTGAATCAGTCCTCGGGCATTGAAAGAAGGGAGCCTGCTGTCCTATCAATTTGCTTATCAGTTTTTTACAACCTAGATTATTAGTTCTTTCCATTTTTAATTTATTTCTACTTTGATTCTATACATATGCATCCACAAGAATGTGTAGTGGGCTGGGTGTCGAGGGATATGGGTTTATGGTGTTCATTACGTACAGTCAATGCAGATTCAAGAAATCTTTATGTGACACTTGAGGGCAAGGAGAGGAGACGACATTTTCCTAGTAGCTATTTGACTAGGCCGATATCCATTTTAAATTCAAGAGAAATCGGAAATCTCGAGCTTCAATGCCCTTTTAATTCTTTTTTCCCCTCTCATATACACCAATTAAGCTGCTAATTTGGTCAAGGCATTTATTTTGCTACGTCTGCGTACACGAGATTAGGGGCTTAAAACTAGTTTGGGTCAGCCAAACCCAACACTGTGGCAGCCTGGCTAAGCCTATTTTGCCAGTATTTTCCTGGGGTTTTCACGCACTACAGGCCTGCAACGTGATTGGACCACGCAAGACGGCCGGCAGAGCATGCATGATTTTTTATTTAAAAAAATTGTTATTTATGATACAAATTTAAAATGAAGACAAAATCCTAAAAGTAAAATGGAATTCTCATTCATCTTTCATGTGTTTAAGAAATATAAATGTAATTTAGAAGTTCCAAGTAAAGTTGACACGTACTTAACTATAGCACATGCATCTTTATATATGTTGTAGTTTGCATAGAGAATTTGGAAGTTTTCCCTCATGGAAGTTTTTGGAACACAAGCTGCTTTTGAAACGTAAATAAGTGAGGGAAACTTACTCTCAAAAAAAAAAAAAAAACTAGAGAAAGTATAGAATACCACCTTCCATTGTGGAGTAGAATCGCCAGTAACAATAGCTTCATTCACAATAGCACTCCCAGCTAAAATAAGCATATCTGCAGGTGCAAAGCTGACAACAGAAACAATGTCCCCAGGAAGAAGTTATGTCCCAGACAGTTTCTTCCACCTAAATTCCAACAATAAACAGTCAATTGACTAGTATGCAAGCCTCCATAAAAATAAAAGCATGACAAAGAGAGATACGAAGTTTAGGAATCTATTTAGCATGACATACTTCCCACAAAGATACACCATCAGAATCCGAGACTGGCTGACCCCTCGTGTGTATGCAAGTGCGGATTTTATCATCAAACATGCTTTTGCCACAATTGACTCAAACATAAACAGCATGAAAAGGGCAAAGAGGCTGTAATACCAGTACCCATTTATACTCCATGACAAGGCAGAGAAGACCTAAATGTAGTGATCAAGTTAGACAAATGTTTAATGCAAGAATTGACAGAGTCTAGAAAGATAGTGTCAGAGTAACTGATATTAGAAGCAAAAAATCCACCGGGCATAATTGAATAAGCAAATCAGAATGACAACAAACCTGAAATACAAAAGTTGGTTGCATGCATTGCTTTTTCATTAATTTTGTGAGGGTAGGCGAAGGATATTCAATTCTACATAATCAAAATCACCATTAGGAGCAGGATGAAAGCTTAAAACATTGAACACATGTAATCTATATTACACTAAATGGCATTAATAGAGAACAATTCATTTTAACACAAACATATATACTAAACATACGTTTTATTTATTATGCCTAATAAACTGAGAAATTATTCTTATTATGAATATATGCACAAGTAGAAGTAATTTCGACATAATTTGATTGTCCGCCTTATTCGAGGGCAAAAATTGAGCTGTTAAATTCCATGTACAAGACGACAGCACCAATAATTTAACTACGAGACTGCACATGTATTCAGCAGATTAATCTGTAATATTGTAGATTATAGCCAACAATTTTTATTTTTATTATTTGAAAAATGAAAAAATCCTGATTGAACCTAGAGATGATAGTCAATGATTTTTTTCCCGTGATGAGTGTATAATAAAAAGGTTGACCCTTGAAAATCAAGAAGCCTCAAAAAATAATGATTTTCATTCACAAGACAAGAACTTGTGACACCTGATAACTGGAAGTAGATAAATGCTTATTTTTTTCTACAGAGGGTAAGCATAAAAATTGAATTTGATTTTCAATATATAAATAGAATAAAAAGGATAGGTGAAACCTACAAATTCCTTCCCCATTTCTTAGTAGCAGCCACAACTTCAGTACCATAGCCACTGGTTTTCAGATAATACCCCATTGTTTCCTTTGTAGGATAACAAAGTTTGCAGAAAGTATTTGTCTCTTTTGAATAGACGAACCTTTGCTTCATGAAATCAAAATAAATCTCTTCCGCATCTACTGAATTGGATGAACCTGCCAACTGAGGATGCAGAAATAAGATAAGATGAAGTTAAAAATTCATGCGAAAATTATCACATTTCTATTCATATTCATTTTCTTTTCATGAAGAGTATAGTTCAAAGGGAAGTTTTAGTGGAAGTTGTAACCACCCCAAAACCTACAAAGATAAAAGGAAGCAATGGAGTTCTAGATCCAGTGGTGTAAATATGACCAATATATTCATCGCGAACACGACAAAAAGAAGGTAAATTTCTACAACTGAAGATTTCAGGCATATAAAATTGTAGAACCAAAGCCTTTTGTAGGCTTACTTTCATTTATTTGCTCTCTATTTCTAAACAGAATCTTCTGCCAGATACGTCTAAAATGTTTTTTCTCCAAGCCCCGGGAGACGGACTCCTCATATAGTTGTTTAAAATGTTTTTCTCACATTAGCATTCCAGTTGCTTGCTTTAACAAATTTTGCCAAAAAAGTAGATGAATATGTACCCTCTCTTACGGAGTGTACCACGCTTAAATAACATCAAACTTCGAATAGAATATACATCAAGCTACGCAATTTCACCCTCAACACATTCAAGTACAATAAAATCCAGCAGTTGAACAAAGATCCTTTTTCCATCTACATGTACGCATGGACATGTTACACTGTTAAGAATCTTAAAATAGGTGATTGATTCGCTTCAGAGGATTATTAACACATTGACTGACTTTAGAGGATGGATTATTAACTGATTGAATGACTTCAGAAGATTAATAGCTACAAGTATTGTAATGCACCATTCCCTTATTAAGTTTATGCTACATAGGATCTCCTAGAGTTTAATTTGATTTATATAGCTATGATTCATACCGTTTTGCTGGACATTTATTTTTCCTAGTAAAGAGCTAGTGCATAAATAGGATGTACCCTATTCAATCTATTCTACAAGAGGAATCACAAATCAATCTACCATTCCACGCCCTCTATTTCAGCAAAGATGTATCAGAGATGGAAAGTAGAACACATTCCTTTTCCATTTTTTCTATAATGCAACACCTGGACCTGATTTATAATATATTAGTCGAAAAGGTCTGTACCCATTAATTGGCATTTGGAGACAGAACCTTGTTTCCCCTATCAATTGATTCTAAGGTTCAACTCTTTCTTTACATTGCTTGGTGCATAGCTTGCAGCAATGCCCTCCCCTGTTTTTCTCGTCTTTCGTTTTCGACCTGAGGAGCCTTCTGTTCTATAAGCCTTTTTTTTTCAAAGAGAAGAAACTCATGCACCAAGCCAACCAGTCCAAACAGCAACCAAAACCAATCTTTCATCTTAATCATCCTACACTTCAGATGACTCAACAAAAAACTCATTGAATTTTTTTTGTTGAGTGGTCCGAAAACTGTTATTTTCAAAATTTGAAGGAAAATGAACTACTTTCATGGAACCATTGAGGAACCAAAGGTAACACATCCTTCTTATGATCCGTAAGAAACAAAAATTCTCAAAGTATAACTTGGCCGATTAGTTTAATGCAGCCTGGAAGCTGCAAACCATTTCTCTATTTTGTTTTACAATCGCCAAGAAAGTGTGATGATGTTAATCCAACCTACTCAAATTTTGGAGCGTAATCAAGAAAACGACTCACACTGGTGCAATTATTGCAATTGACTGCAATATCAGGCAAACTTGTTGGAGATTCATTGGGAAAGCATCTACTCAGTCATTGCATTCTGAAAAGGCTGGAGAGTATATTTGCACGATTCCTATGGGATTATAAGGATCATGCGCGTCGTCTACATTGGCGGAGTTGGAAGGCGATTTGCCTTCCTGCGACGAGGAAGGTCTGGGCTTTAGACGATTATAGGATACATTGGACACATTTTCATTGAAGCTATGGTGGTTGTTCAGTTCTCAGAGTTCTCTTTGGGCCCAGTTTTTACTAGGCAAATATTGTAGGGGGACACATCCGTCGCTTGCATCAATTCCCCACTCAGCATCTCCTATTTGGAAGCGACTGAAGAGATTTGGACCATGCATCGAGATACACATTGCGGGGCACCTTGGGATAGGACAGATCTTCTTTTGACATGATTGTTGGATAGGTGATTCTACATTGGCATCCATTTTCCCACATGACAGCATACATCTGCGAGGGTGCAGGACTTTTTCGAGGAAACTAGATGGAATTTTGAACGATTACTATAGGCTCTTCCATCAGCTATGGCAGAGCAGATCGCGACCATTCCACTATATCTAGATGTCTCGGATTGCATTTTCTGGAGGATCTCATCAGATGGCAGATTTAATACTAAATTAGCATGGCAGCAGATTCGCTCTAGCAGGCCAGTGCAAGATTCATTTCGCCTACTGTGGAGCCCCATCATACCTCCTATCATTTCGTTCTTCTGTTGGAGATTATGGTAGGACTAGATACCAGTTGATGTCATTATCTAGAGAAGGATCAGCAGTCAGTTAGCTTCTCTATATCAGTGTTGTTCAGAGATTGAGACCATCACTCATATTTTTACTGGCAGCAGTATTACATATCATGTTTGGCAACATTTTGGGGATTTATTTCAGATTAACATGAGTACAGGAAAAAGTGTCAGACGGAGATTTTTGAGATAGAGGTATTCTGGACAGTTTGCAAGGACCGGGCACATTTACATCATTATTCCTCTATTCATTTTCTAGTTTCTTTAGACTGAGAGGAATAATGTAAAGCATGAAAACATACGTATGAGCTTGAGACGAATTATCTGGAGAGTTTATCGTATGGTATCCTTCCTCCATATTGGTGGACTATTTCGACCGTTACATTGGCGTAATGATATGCAGGTTGCTATACTTTTTGGTATTTATTTGACTCTTTCCCCATCTCCTACCCCTATCAGGGTTTCTGTCATTTGGATTGTCAAAATCAATACTGATGGTTGTGTCAAGGATGTGTTTGCTAGTGGGGGAGGCATCATTAGAGATTACGCAGGAAATTGTATCAGGCTTTCCCAACTTCATATGGACAATCTATGATATTAGAAGCGGAACTCAAGGCTATTCGTGATGGGATACTACTGGCTAGAGATCTTAGTTTATCAGATATTTGGGTTGAGGCAGACTCGACTGTTGCCATTCACTGTTGTCAAGAAATATAAATTGTATTATATTGTCTTGTTAATATTACAATGTAGAAGACCCTATTTATAGGGTTACAAATAACTGTAGAAGGAAATAAACATAAAAGGGAAGATTACATAAGCAACTACTTAGGAAAGTAAACCTACACTAAAAGGAAAGTAAATATAATCGCAATCTTTGACGATCTCTGTAATTTTATTTAATATCCTTGACATTCCCCCTCAAATTGATGCTAGTAAAAGCATCAATTTGCAATCATGAACTGACAACGATGATGATACTTGTGCCCACGAAAAAGAAATCCAAATCAAAGCAACCAACGACGAAAATGACTGACAACGAGAGACCAAGAACAATAAAGAACTATTCCAAAAACACTCCAAGAATACTCTAAAGGAACAACGAGAAACCACCGAAGAAGAGTCAAACGTTGACAAAATCAGTCAACCGTGGACGACCAGAAGAAACCCACACCTGAAAGGTTGAGTTGTGACCAAAGAGAATCGAAGATTCAACCACTCCAAAGAAACGACGAGAAACTACGAGAACTCACACTCCCCAAGAAGAATTTCCAAAAGAAATTCACGACGTGCGCCGACACACACAGTGAGCTCTATCTGTCGGGAGAACTAAGTCGAACACATAATTCGTGTTCCGACAAAAGCTCTTAACGCTAAAACACCAGCCAAAAATCCAAAACCACATAACGATCCACACAAAGATTTTTTTTTTTTCCAAACCTAAAATAAGAATCCCAAAATTCCATAACCTACAATAATAAACCCAAAAGTCAATGACCTAAAACTACAGCAAAACTTAAAAGTCAAAATAATAGCCCATTACCCCCATTAAACTACAGCCCAGTCACTTAATAAATTAAACCAACCCAAGTGAAATAACAGCCCACACAACGAAGCCCAAAAAGATATTAATAAGGCAACCACTCCAAAACCAAATATGTACCACAAAGCCCACATCTTTTCCTCAACCCATTACATAGGTACTATCCAATTAATTTCCCAAGGCCAAATTAATTAAATTCAGCCCAATCAAAACCCAACCAATTAATTAACCCAAATCAATTGCCCAGCTTCATCACCACATAGTCCCTCCCCGACACTGTTGTTTTCAACCATTCTGCGAAATCAAATGCTGGAATCTCATCCACATCACCAGTGGATTCATGACCACGAGAAATCGACAGATGCCCACCAAAGGAATACCGCACGCTGTCAATTATTCCAGTAGTCACCAACCTTAAGCTGCCGCCTTCACTGCCACATCGCAGGCCGTCTGGGGGCACTTCCCCGAAATCGACAGTTGCCCGAGCAAAAACAGCTGCAGCCCGGACCTCCGGTTGGGGCTCAGAAAGTAGAGATGCAAGAATAGCGGGGGCATCTACCTGTAAACCTATTATTTGTGCCTATGCAAAATCTTCCCACATTTTTCCCAGGCACAAGCACAGCCACAACCACTGAAGAAATAGAAATAGAGGTTCAATTTGGGCCTCTGGATTGTTTTTTGTTTTTACTTCGAGTTGTCTTCTGCGCCTTCTGCGTATCCAAGCCGAAGTCCAAAGTCCCTGAAGAGGATTTGATTGTGTAAAAATTTTAAATCAAACGAGAATTTTTTTTTTTAATACGAGAATAGAGTCTGAAAGCCTCCTTTGGTTAAAAGAAACATGAACTGGAAAAGAAAAACATTGGCTCAATTGGATGCAGACGGGATGGGAGGAGCAAATGCTCCTCCCGTCCGAGAAAACCCTATCAAGAAAAACCAAGAAAATTCTAAGGAATTGGCTCTGATACCATGTCAAGAAATATAAATTGTATTATATTGTCTTGTTAATATTACAATGTAGAAGACCCTATTTATAGGGTTACAAATAACTGTAGAAGGAAATAAACATAAAAGGAAAGATTACATAATCAACTACTAAGGAAAGTAAACCTACACTAAAAGGAAAGTAAATATAATCGCAATCTTTGACGATCTCTGTAATCTTATTCAATATCCTTGACAACTATATCACCGGAGGTAGTAGACCGTGGCCTATCCAGGGGATATTCAGACAGATTGTAGATATTGTTTCCTTTGATAGAGATATGATTTCCCACATCTTTAGAGATGGGAACCAAGTTGCAGATGCACTTGCTATCGAGGCTTGGCATCAGCGTAGATACCAGGAATATGGACCAACCGACCTATCACGACATATCAGGGCGCTTGTTCAGATTGACAGATATGGTTTGCCCAACACTAGAATTTAAGTATTTGTATTTTGCTTTTATTTTTATTTTTTATTTAACTTGCGCTTTTTGTTAGGGAGATAGTACTTTTTTTTTACTGCTTTCCTATTATTCTTTACCTTCACTGTAAGGGAAGTAGTACTTCCTCATTTATTGATTTCATTAATATCAATTGTAACCACGGTATTCCTCCGCTACAAGTGAGGACATTTTAATAAAATCTCGGTGGTGCCGCTCTCCTATTAAAAAAATTCTACTCAGGATAAAGGAAATCGGCCACAAAAGAAAAGATTTATCAAGTAACAACCGTCGAAATGAAGAAAACCATAACAACGAAAACTTCTCCAAGGGACAATTAGACGCTTTGCACCAAATCATTAGACAATCAGGTCTCTCGAGACCCGAGTATTCCAAGTTCCTAAATTAGACCTAGAACTCTTCTTCTAAGTTTCGATGATTCAGGAAGTAGTAGGGTCTACAAGTTAGATAAGTCTTTGTACACATTGAAACATCTTGAGGCATGGCTCCGAAGGTTTTCAGAGTTTCAAAAATTATGTATCTTGTTATAAAGTCAAATGGATTATACATTATTCTTCAAATATTCAGAAGTCAAAACACACTGTTATTATTGTATAATTTGATGAGGGTGACAAGTATGAAGAAATAAAAGATAGAAGACTCAACTTACTTGAGAGATTGAAATAAAGGACTAGGGGAATCTTAGGAATTTTCTTAGCATGAAAGTAGTAAGATCAAAATATGGCATGTCATTGATTTACTTAAAGAAACCAAACCTTTAGGAATTAAACTTGCAGTGATTTCAATAGATCTAAGCCATAAATTGGTTTTGAATTTGCAGAAAGTCCCGTTGACAAATGGGAACACCAAAGGTTAGGTAGCGAAGCTGATATATCTTTCTCGCACAAGACCTGACGCGGTCTATGTGGAGTAGTTCAAGTCAATGTATGGACTCCCCAAGGGTTACCATATGGAGCAAGTTAGAAGGATCATAAGATACTAATGGAAGTTTATACCGATGTAGATTGACTAGTTCAATTACATGTAGAACATCTACGTCCAGTTATTGTACTTTTTAGGAGGGACCAGGTCACAGAGAGAGTAGAAACAAAATGTCTGTCCCAAATCCAGTGTGGAGGCTAAATCGAGTAGAATCTCTACTCAAGTGATGTGAATTAGGAAGCATGCGACCAAGACATACCAGGTTAAGAGAAAAGTCCTCAACCGAAATTCACTAATTTTTCATGTTATTCAACATTATAATTCCAGATTTCGAAATTCTACACCGATTGCTACTGAACAATTTTTTTTGCATGGGGGACGACCTAATGATCCTTATATCCAAAGGGCACTCTCTGGTCTTACTCCAATTAGTAACAAAGTCAGAAGTGAAAATTTCCTTAAAGCTAATTAGGAACTCAAAAGAAATTGAATTTTTTTTTTTTGGGAAATCCAATGGCACTCTGTCAAAATTTTTCGGACCTCAAATGTTGAAGTGCGTTTTGAAGTTCAAGGTATCCCAAAAATTCCCAAAACTTAGGGTTTCACAAACATGTCCTTAGCTAAACCATAGATTTCCAACTCCAAGCGCACATTTCAAAAACATAGATACTCAACGCCGTGAAGAGAGGAACGAGAGAAATGCGGAGGAAGAAGAAGACCACGATAAAGAGATGAAAGCTGACGGGGAAGATGACCCTGACGAGGAAGAAGGTCCTGTGGAGGACGAAAAAGGTCCTCATGAAGAAACGATGAACGCGAATAGGGAACAAGACTCTGACGAGGAAGAAAGTCCTACGGAGGAAGAAGGTTTTTACGGAAAAGGGACGAACAAGGAGAGGGAAGAAGGCCCTGCCGAGAAAGTGGGGAATGGAGATGAGGAAGGTACTACTTGCCCAATCTGTTTATTCAATTTCGAACACCCGTGTTCTTGCGGAATATGTAGAAATCAGTTTTGTGGTATAACCCAACTTTAATACATCTAATTAATTCTTGATATTGATTTTAATTATTCATTTTTTTAATGTTTGATTGCAATAACTTGTATACCGAATTGTTGGATTCTGGACGCTCGTGATTATCAATTCATCCAAATGATTTGTCCAATGTGCAGGACAAGAATTACTGAATTGATCATGAATGTACAAAATTATCCATCTGTAATTTTTTATGTTAATCAAGATTATAATTCCAGATTTCGAAATTCTGCACCAATTGCTGCTGAACAATTGTTTTTGCATGGGGGACGACCCAATGATCCTTTTATCCAAAGGGCACTCTCTGGTCTTACTCCAATTAGTAACAAGGTCAGAAGTGAAAATTTCCTAAAAGATAATTAGGAACTCAAAAGAAATTGATTTTTTTTTGGGAAAATACAATGGCAGTCTATCAAAATTTTTTGGACCTCAAATGTTGAAGTGCGTTTTGAAGTTTAGGGTATCCCAAATATAAACTAAGCTTAGGGTTTACCAAACACGTCCTTGGCTAAATCGTGGGTTCTACAAATTAAAAGCACACATTTCCAACTCCAAGCGCACGTTTCAAAAACATGGATACTCAACGCCATGAAGAAAGGAATGAGAGAAATGCGGAGGAAGAAGAAGACTGCGACGAAGAGATGAAAGCTGGGGGGAAGAAGGCCCCACGGAGGAGGAAGAAGGTCCTCATGAAGAAATGATGAACGCGAATGGGAAAGAAAACCCTGACGAGGAAGAAAGTCCTGCGGAGGAGTAAGAAGGTTTTCACGAAGAATGAACGAAAGCGGAGGGGGAAGAAGGCCCTGCCGAGGAAGTGGGGAATGGAGATGAGGAAGGTCCTACTTGTCTAATCTGTTTATTCAATTTCAAACACCCGTATTCTTGCGGAAAATATAGAAATCAGTTTTGTGGTACAACCCAACTCTAATATATCTAATTAATTCTTGATATTGATTTTAATTATTCATTTTCTTAATATTTAATTGCAGCAAACTATATACTGAATTGTTGGAGTCTGGACGCTCTTGATTATCAATCCGATTATCAATCCATGCAAATGATTTGTCGAATGTGCAGGACAAGAATTTTCGAATTGATCTTGAATGTACAAAATTATCCATCTGTAATTTTTCATATTATTCAAGATTATAATTCCAGATTTCGAAATTCTACACCAATTGCTGCTGAACAATTGTTTTTGCATGGTAGGATGACCCAATGATACTTATTACCAAATGGCACTCTCTGGTCTTATACTTATTACCAAATGGCACTCTCTGGTCTTACTCCAATGAGTAAGAAGGTCGGAACTGAAAATTTCCTCAAAGCTAATTAGGAACTCAAAANATCTTAAAAGGTCAACATTATTAAGAGGAGTAGTCCAAGATCGTTATTAATTGGTCTATGTCAACATCATTTATCGATGTGGGATATATATCCCTTAACCCGCAAGATGGTGGCACATTTGAGCAAACTAATCTTGAAATCCACGTGCTCATTTTAGAGTCTTAACTTGATCGAATCGCTCGTTGGAGCATAATGGGCGATACCTTGTCAAAACAAGTCAAATATACCTTATGAATGGCCGAAAATCTACCTTTTGGCCTTGAGATCTGTATATTATATAGACTTTACAAGAATGTTATATTTGGAATGTAAATCAGTTCATTCCTAATTCTAGCCCTATAATTTATATGCTAATCATACAAAATAATAAATGGAGAAATAATAGGGAAACAATTGTGGGTTAAAACAGAAAAGACGTGTGGACAGCTTTGCTATCCGTTGACAGCCCCCCTTAAATTGATGCAGGTTGATCAACAAGCATCAATTTGCCACTTAGAAAGAAATGTTGATGACGAGTGAGAGCCTTGGTGTAGATATCAGCAATTTGTAGTTCAGTGGAAATATGTAGAAGAGTGATAACACAACGTTCAAAAGCTTCACGGATAGAGTGACAGTCTACTTCAATATGTTTTGTGAGTTCATGATAGATGGGATTGGCCGTGATCTAAATAGCACTCATATTATCGGCATGTAGAGGTGTAGGATCGGTCTCACAAAAATCTAACTCGGCTAGCAAACCTCGAAGCCAAATGATTTCAGAACAAGCAAGAGACATCGCCCGATACTCAGGTTTCGTAGATGACTTAGAGACTCTATCTTGTTTCTTACTTTTCCAGGAGATCAATGCATCACCTAAGAACACACACCAACCAGTTGAGCGACGGGTATCTGCACAACCAGCCCAATCAGCATCACTATAAGCAACAAGACGAGGAGAATTAACTGCAGGAAAGAATAATCCACGGGCAGAAGTGCCCTGAACATAGCGTATGATCCTACGAATAGCAGCCAAATGAAGATGACGAGGAGTCTGAAGGAACTGACTGACTTGCTGTAAAGCAAAAGAAATATCTGGCCGAGTGATGGTGAGATAGACGAGGCTACCCACCAATTTTCGATATAAATTGGGATCAACAAGTCACCCTCCTCTTTGCGAAGCTTGACATTTAATTCCATGGGAGTATCGACAGAGGCAGTTTCCTGCAGTCCAACTATAGCCACTAAATCACTAGCATACTTATGTTGATTGAGGGAAATACCAGAGGAACTACAATGCACCTCAAGAGCAAGAAACTATGTAAGAGACCCAAGATCTTTCATATGAAAGGAGTTTGAGAGATGGGTTTTGAGCTGGACAAGTAAAACAGAATCAGAACCAGTGATCACAATATCATCAACATAAACTAAAAGGACAACAATAACCATGTCCGATTTTCGAAGAAACAATAAAGTGTCATACTTGCTTTGCTTGAAGGAAAATTGTAACAAAGTGGTTCGAAATTTATCAAACCAGGCCCACGGAGCTTGTTTGAGACCATAAAGAGAGCGACGAAGTTTACACACATTGGAGGTCGGAAAGGGAAACAATCATGGGGGTGGCTTCATATAAATACACTCTTTAAGATCCCCATGAAGGAAATCATTCTTAACATCCATCTGATGTAGTGGCCAATCATTGGAAGCAGCAAGAGCTAGGATCGTACGAACAGTGGTCATCTTAGCCACAGGAGAAAAGGTCTCCTCATAATTAACACCATATTCATGATTGTTCCTGAGAACAAGAAGCTGAGCTTTATAACGATCCAAGCGTCCATCAGAGCGAACCTTGACTGAGTAAGCCCATTTGTAGTTGAGATGAACTAGAGTGGATGGACAAGGCTCAATGTCCCAGGTATGATTGGCCTCTAGAGCGGCAATTTCTTCCTGCCTAGCTTGTCGCCAACAGTCATGCTTTATAGCATGTGAGCAGCATGTGGGAATATCAAAATTGGACAATGTAACAGTAAGAGCTGAAATAGAATTGCCCGAAGAATACCCATACCTATACGGGGGTACGGACACATGAGAAGAGCAACGTACCAAAGGCTCTGGAGGTGCTGCAACGGACTGATTTTGGTGCATGTTAGGATCTGATATCGGGTGAGCCACCGGAAAAGACCGTGGGCGGGATCGTCTCGTGTA